AAAATACAATGGAACAGTTTTCAAAAAGCTATAAACAAAACAAAACTCACAGGAGAGTACATTCCAAAACTTACAGATAGTGTGACCGTTTTGCAAGCTATATACTTCCAGTGGACCCCCTGGTTTGATGACATAATTAGAATTTCTGGAAGGTCTCACCTTTGGGTCAATCTCACCGTTGCGAGGAAATGATCTTCCAAATGGTGGGTGCCACCGCAAAAAAGGCCCTTCTCCTGGATGAAATTCCTTGCCTGTATTTTCTCCTTTTCCCTTATTGTTAACTGATCCAAATGATAATAAACCAATTGTTTCTGATTTCCTTTTCTAGATGTGGTCTTCTACACTTTACCTTTTTGTTTGCATACAGTACAAAGACAACACTTTTCAGAAGCTTGTTGGGATGCTTTTATGTTTATTATTTAATCTGTATTTCAACAAAATTAATACAACTTCCATGTTTCTGTTCAGTTTCTATTGTTTTTATGATTTCCTATTTTGCTTCTGTGATTTTTTTTGTCAACCCTGAAGCTGTCTTGACTGAAGCCATTTTGTCTGCTTCAGTGTTGCCACACTGGAGCTGAGGGTCAGGAAGGGGGGATTTTCTATAGAGGGGTTTTTGTAGACAAAACAAAATATTTTCTCTCAGGAACCAAGGACATTCTCACATCTGGTTGGAAAATGGCAAAGTGATGCCACCCAGTTGTTGGACTGCACAGTGATTGCACCATGTGACTGATTGTTTTGAGAAAGTAGAAAATCTTTTACCTTTAATAAGCTGAAAACCGTGGCAGTTTCAGAGTCGGTTTTCACCAGATAAGTGTCAATATATTTCCAATAAAAGTAATCTTTGAAGAATTCAGTTGTCTCAGAGTCTTGCTTGCAATGGATTTATTACTTGGAACACTGACATATTTTATCTTTATAATAAAAAGTAATGTCTATTTGTTGCTGAATTAAAACTTCTACAAAGTTCAGAGTCACTTTGAATTTAAAGATGTTAATAAATAATAAAAATCATAACAATATCTGCCTAGAGTTGCCTTATCAGGGAGATGGGTAGCATATAAATTTAATAATAATAATAAAATAAATAAAAATAACACCAAGGAATGCTATATCTGTCAGTTCAAGCATCACAGGTTTCTAACTCTGTTTCGTTCCTACTTTATTTTCCATGGTAAATGGTAAAGGGCATGAATGAACAAAGGGAATAAATATTAGGTACCTTGCATATCTAGGAAAGTAAGAAAAAAAGGAAGAATGTAAGTTATCTGAACAAAGGTGGTCATGGATTGGGACTGATGAATAGAAGCAAAGAAGTGATGAGATAAGCTTAATTCTGAATGACAGAGCAAAAAAAATATGTCTGAAAATATGAAGGGGTGTGTCTCAGTAGTTGTGAATGTATATGGAAATGCAAATACATAAGTTGTTATGTTGCGTGTTGTACTCCAGGTGATAATGGAAGAACCAGATGTTGGGGGGAGAAGTATATGCAACATTCTGAGTGAGGACAAAGTGTTTTGAAAAAAGAACTACATGACTTGGTGTGGACTTGGTGTTCAGAGTCACAAGAGAGAAGAGGTCAAAAACAACTCAGCTTGGAATCTTTGGTATTTAGGGAAAGAGCCAAGTCATACCCTTCCTAAGCTTTCTGAGACGGTACATCTAATAGTTATGCAAACTTTTGCTTTACTTTAGCAAGATTCCTCTCCATAGGCAAACAATAATAAAGAAACCACTCTGGAGGAGCTCCTTGTGACATTCTTGGTTCCTTGTGCCTGAGAATTGAATGGATGGGTGGCAGAGGTGGTATTCAGCAGGTTCTGACCAGTTCTGGAGAATCGGTAGTGGAAATTTTGAGTAGTTTGGAGCACCAGCAAATGCTACCTCTGACTGGCCCCACCCCCATCTCTTCCCTGCCTCCCAAGTCCTAGCTGATTGGCTGGGTCTTCTTTTGTGGCCCTGAACAAGATAACGGAGCTGGAAAGGAGGTGGGGTGGGGTGGGAATGGAGATTTTACAGTATCCTTCCCCTGCCACGCCCACCAAGCCATGCCCACAGAACCAGTAGTAAAGATTTTTGAATTCCACCACTGATGGGTGGGGATGAGAAAGAGTACAGAAGAACTATTATATCATTTGGAGATTCAATAATAAATAAATGTGGTGATTAGTGAGTATCCTCTCAGAAATTTTGTTTGTTAGTTTAAAGTTCATGGTTTAGCACAAATATATTCATCTTATACATGACAAAGGAATGCCTTTGATTTGATTATGATTACAAAGTTAAAAAATGAGTGAAGGCTCAATGGGTGATGAGAGGTAATGTAGATCATTGTTGGATAATGTCAACAGTGGATCTTGGAAATAGAAGTGAGAAGGAAATTAAATAAATTGAGGGAAAGGAACTAAAATAAAAGAAGAAGAATTACAGGAAGAGAAAGAATATTCCTCTATGGAAAGAGAATTAAGAAACTGATTAATCTCTCAGAAGGCAAATGGAAAGTAGAAATAAGAAAACACAATGGGGAAACACTTTGGAGTAGAATGCAAAGAATTATACTACAGAATGACACAGAAAAGTGTGAAGATATATTAATGCAAGGTATGGAAAAAGTTGTTTTATGAAATAATTATGTGAAAAGACTTGAGGATAAGAAAACAGATATATTAAAAATGGTTGCAAAAAAGGATGAAAGGTTTTGTTCTTAAAGAAGAAGATAGTTGCAAAGAATGTACTCAGAGTGAAGAAGAAATTATAAAAATGAAAAGAGGTAGAGAATGTGCAGAACAATTTTGATAGATATACAACATTTTTTAGAAGTGAAGGAAGAAGAGTAAAGGAATCTCCAGCAAAGAGAATGATATTAAATATAAAAATGCTGAAATCATTTGGTAAAAGATGTATACGATCTGAAGAGGAACCAGAGTCATTTGGGATGGAGAAACTGTTGGAAGAATATTTTAGATCTCTTTATAGGAATGATAGTGATATATAAAAGAGTGGAAATGATGAAAAGAAAGCCATAAATACCGTGAAAAGGTTGAAAAATGGTCAGGGTGTAAGTATAGACAGCATTAACTATCTAAAAAGAGTCAGTTTGCTGAAATGGAGAAGATGCTGGCTTAGAAACCACGAGACTGTGAGTTCTAGTTCCACTTAGGCATGAAAGACAGATGGGATAAAAATATTGTAACTGAGGAAATTTTAAATATGGATATATCTTGCACATGGAAAGGTTATGGACTTGTTTAACACTAGCATTAAAACTGTAACTGTCTGATGATTGGAAGAAAACTGTTATTGTTAATATCAGGGGAAAAATAGCCAAAGAAAATGCAAAAATGATAGGGAAATTAATCTGTTTAAGTGTGCCAGGAAAGGTGTTTGGTTGAATTCTGATGAGAAGGATAGATGAGGTGACATTAGCTCTATTTAGAAAGTGTTGGACAACAGATATGCTGATCAGACTTTTATTCTTCAGCAGGTCATTGAGAAACATATCAATGTGAGAAAGTTTATTGTCTGTTGTTTTAAAGAAAGTGTGACTAAGTAAATAGGCTTGATTAAGACACTGTTTTGCATGAATATAAATGCATTGTGAGATGTATTCAGAAACAAATGGTTAGTCCTAGTGAGATTTAAGATAAAAAGGAGTGACACTTCCTTGGTTGTTCATTATATATTAGGAATGGTGATGATAAAAATAAATTTGTTGAGGATGTGAACTTAACACAGAAGGAGCCTTGCCATTTTTGAAGACAATGGAGAATCGGATGAGAAAATATCTCTGAAACAATGAACAAATGGGTTGTGGGCTATCTTCTAGTCTTCTAGATAGAAAGGATTGCTAAAATTTGTTCCTTTAATTTTTTTTTTTAATTTGAAATGTTTATTGGGTAAATGTGGCATAACCAAGTTCATAGTTGGTGTGTTCAGGTTAGGGTTGGGCCAAAATTTTATGAACAGCTAAATTTGATTGTGTTCAGAGGCAAGATTACCAAGGATTTTTGGTCGTCTTTTATTGGGTGACTTAAGTATGCTGCCCCTAATTGCCCAGGCAGATACTTCCCCCACCCCGGTACTATTATGGTCATTATTTATCCCAGAACAATATTTGGAACAGAAATGGGAACAAATTTCAAAATAATCAGGAAAAGAAAAGAAAAAAAGAATTGAATGAAGCAATGAGAAACGTTTACCAATAGTTACATACAGCTCTTAGAACTGCATATACCCTCCCAATTGTCCCCAATGTTATGTTCCATTTCATGGTATCTATATTATTTAACTTATTTGTCTATTGTATCTATATACCACCAAATAGAAGTGAGTCAATGTCACCAAATGGTTTACAGTGAAATAAAATTGCAATGCAATCAAATGCAATTGAAATACAGTCACTTGCTGCTCCTGAGCTAAACATCTCCTGGACTATGGAATTTGGAAAGGAAAAAAGTCAGCTACCCCCACACTGTGGACAAGACTCAGGAAAGCAAGAACAATGTAAATGTCATTAACATCTTTTTATGCTAGTTTAGAATAAATAGAAAATTTGGATCCCAGCATTGGAATTTCCAATTTCAGTTTTAGGCAGTTTCTTAGAAACATTTATACCCAGACCTCTCAGCACTTCAGCACCCTTTTCTGAGATAGGCGTTCGTCTGATTCACCTCCAACTTTCTCACAATCTTCTTTACCATCATATGGATATCATCACCCATATATCTCTGGAAAAGACCATCATGTACATTCAGTCCAGAGTGTGATATATGATCTAGGCCAGGCTTTCTTATTTGATTCAAGGTGAAATGGGCTCTGTGTTATGTTTCCTCTCATAGATTGCTCCGCTACACTAACTTTCAGGATGGCTTTGACAGAAAGCCCTTGAAAATGTGTTCTATGTTGATCAAGATGGGGCAAGGAGAATGTTGTCAAAAGCCTTGAGTTCAGGTTGACATTTGTTATATTTGTTATTTTCTTGTTGTGGTTTTCAGCTGATGATGCCTGTGGTGGGACACTTCGGGGGCAAAGTGGAATAATTTCAACCCCCCATTATCCTTTGGAGTACAACAACAACGCTGACTGCACATGGACGATTCTAGCAGAGCCGGGAGACACTATAGCTCTGGTTTTCTTGGATTTCCAATTGGAGGACGAATATGACTTTTTAGAGGTCACTGGAACGGAGGGATCCTCTTTATGGTAAGCAACTGCTTTACTTTTTTTTAGATCAGTATGGATTATTTGTACCCTTTGGTGCCATATCTTGCAAGTGTTGGTTTGCAAGTGATCAGAATTGCCTAAATAAAGAACAGTAGGAATACTAATGCCTTTAAAATGTTTCATTAACATGCAATGAAAATGTCACTCTTCATCCCAGAATCAGGATTTTTTCTTTATCATGTGTGTCT